ATTATTCATGGCAAGCTCCTGTAATTTAAATTCTTGTTCCAGCTTCCATCTTTCAAACTCTTGTGAGATTAGAACATGTTCTCCACATGAGTCACCTTCCTGAGTTTCCTCTTGTTCCACAGATATAGGCACTCCATCTTCTTCCCGAGGTAATAAGCTTTGTTGTGCCTCTTCAGGATCAGTTAGTTCAATCACTGGCTTTTTACTTCTTTTAGGTGGCATTATTATATACAGTGGTGCCTAACAAGTCAAACACCTCGTGGCATGAAAAACCCGCTAGACGAATGGGTTTGGCTAAGGTTTTGGTGCCTCGCAAGACGAATGTTCCTATGGCTCTGCTTCGCCACCCCCCCCAATGCCACTTTCAGAGGTCCCCCGCCCCAGCACCATTGGAGGACTGGCGGGGGACCTCTGAAAGCAGTGCTGGAGGTGGTGGGTGGTGGGGGAGGCAGGGGGTGGTGGTCCCCCCTGCCCCCCCCAGCAAAGCACCACTTTCAGAGGCTTCCCCAGGGACATGGGGAAAGCACATTTTTTAAATTTCCAGCTCTTTTTTAGTGCTGGGCAAGTGCAGGGAAGCTTCTAAGACCCAGCGCCGATCAGCTGTGAGGCGGAGAGGGGGGGCAGGAGTGGAGAACAGCACAAAATGGCTGCCACCTCCCTGCTGGGTCCAGGCTCTCAGCTGTTTGGCGCTCTTTTTCTGGGGCTACCAAGGCACTGTGAGGAGCTGGGCTCAGTCTACAGTACCTGGTAAGTGACTTTTAATTTTTTTTTTGTTTCTGACTCCCCCTCCATAGGAACACATTGATTAAATTTCAATGCATTCCTATGGGAAAACTCGCTTCGCAAGATGAAATTTTCACTAGACGGCATTAATTGTGGAATGGATTAATTTCGTCTTGCGAGGCACCACTGTATGTATTTATTTGGATAAGCGCTGGTTTATATTGCAGAGATATAGTCAGGGCTCTGTTTAAAACACCCTCTCTTTTTCTTTCCTTTTTGTATGTGGGTCTCTCCCAGCAGCTATGGATGGCTACACTTCCCAGTGTTCCTTAGTCTAAGACAATTTTTCTTGCCTCTAGACCCAAAACAAACTCTGATTTTATTCAAGCCTACGCTTGTCCTTATTTCCTCTGACCTGTGTTGACCCCGGCTCCTACTTTTTCTTCACAAGCGCTCCCTTAACTCTCGGAGCCTTGGATTCTGAGTTAGTCCACTGGATCTATTCAAATCCTGAGGTAACCTCAACAGAATTTTTCCTCAGAGTTGTTCTCTATCTTTAGTTTCCCCCAAGATCCGAGTTTAGAAGCCTTGCCACTAAGCTTTTCCACAAAAGCAAGCTCTAGTGTGTTACCCACTTCTTCACTCTTGATCTCTGACTAACAGATCCTCTTGACTCAGGAAAATTCAAATTCAATTTACACTTTTACTGGAATCTTTTTCGAATCCCGCCACTGAACACCAATGGTTACGTTCATCCCGTGCCCGTTTCTTTTTCTCAACCCAAAGGGCTCACGCTGGTGACGTTCCCTCTTCCTTTCACTGCCACCAGTGGATTTCTTTATCCATGATGTAAAGGACTTTAGTCTGACACTGGCTGCCAATAACAGAACTTGTTTATTAAAGGGTATTAGGGTAATTAGGTTAAATCAGGATCACATGTTCTTTATTCATTTTAAAGAATCAAAATCACTGGAATATCATATATTCTGCCACACATACAATCACCTCGTTTTATTTATTCCCTTTATTAGTTTCAGTTCTCACTCTTTCTCTCTCTCTTCAAACCTCTCTCCTCTTCTCACACACTCTCTCTGACTTAACTGACTCTCTGCCTCCACCCCTCCTGTCCTCTCATAGGCTTATGCAAATGATCTCCAGCTATCAGTGACAAGCGTGACATGGGGCATCTGTCACAGCACCCTTACTCTTTTTGTTTCCTGGATACAGCCAGGGATTTACCTCTGCTTTACTTCATAATCAAGCTGAAGGTTACTGCTAATATATGATGGCCAATGAAATAAGTAAGTCTTCAATTTTATGTATTCGCGAAGGCTTCAATTTTGTTAAATATGCTTTTTGTTCTTATTGTTTCAGTTTTCTTAAACACATGTGCCTTAACTCAGTACCAAATAATGCTTTGTTGTTAAATCAGTAGGGTTTTTTGTATTTTGACACATGTATGAGCACCACAAGTAGTGTGCTACACCTAGACTGAGTCATATAAAGAAGAGAGTTGATCTAACTAAATTAGACTTACCCCGTATTTTTCACTCCATAAGACACACCTTTCCATAAAACGCACCAATTTTTTAGGAGAAGAAAACAGGAAAATATTATCTGTTTTCTTCGCTCCATAAGACGCACAGACTTTCTACCCCCTGGTTTTGTGGGAAAAAAGTGTGTCTTATGGTGCGAAAAATACGGTTAGTCATAACTTCACACTCACTTCAATGAGGCTATTCCAACTACTGTACAACTATATTTGAGTCAGACCCTTAATCAGTACTGTGGGTGTTCGCTCACCAGCAACTGAAATATACCATCTTCTTGTAAGGGAAATTTAATCAGGTCAGTAATTGAGCTGGATCCAACAGGAGCAGCCTATCTTTCAGAGGAAGGGAAACTCTGGAACCAATCCAAACAGGATAGTTCTATCAGTGACACACCAAAGTTTCCTCTATTTTTAGAAATATTGTCTGACTACTAGTAATTCATGGAAGGCCAGTGGCTTTTGAGGTCTGCTTCCAGGCTTTCTGGAAACAAAATACTGCATTAGACAGAATACTTTGTAGTACTAGGTTCTTAAGTTCACATCTCCTTCCATTTTCTCTTGCCACTGGCAAGGAAATTAAAGTTTGCACTCTCAGTTGCTCCCCTATTTACTAAATGGATCAAATACAATTAAATAGAATGTTTATTTAATTATATAGAGGAGCGATAAGGGGATAGGGATGAAAAATAAAGATTTTAACATTGTCATATCGAAAAAAATAGCGAAATTTATGATATTCAGAAGAATAGTCTAGTTAGAGATAGTCTAGTTATACTGGATGCTGAGTCTGCAGCTCTTCAGCATCAACAGCTTAGGCTTCAGTTTGATAAAAAAAATCTACACAAAATGGTTGATCTGGTCTTAACTATTCAGCAGGTTGTGCTGGTCAATTAGGAAATAATTTCTGATTATCATGTATTGACAGAGTTGTACAATGGCCACAAACAATCATCACTATTTCTATTTGCAGTATTGTGAAGTCTGAAGGCTGATTTTGAAATGGAGCTTAGTTAGAATTCCCTGTGGAACCTGTCCTTTACAGCAAATGATATGTCCATACATAGTTTTCTACTGGGTCAACTGAGGAACTCCACAACATGCTGCTCCCCCTGTTTTCTGCCAACTAATGGGACTGACTGAAAAATCTCACAATAATGCACAAAATTACACTCAAAACTGTTTCTCCCTCCATGTCCACCACATCATTTTGTAGTGAACAGCCTTGTCCTCACCTGTCTGTCACAGCTGAACAGGAGCCAATGAGTGGACGGAAGGCAGAGCCAAGGGGGGAGGGGGCTGGATATAAAGGCTAGTGTATGGAGAATGGAGAGATTCTGGTAGTGAGAGACAGTGTGAAACTTAAAAGTGAACTAAGAGTGAGTTAGAGATCTGTAAGAATGCTGAATGGAACAGAGTGTTAATAGAGTTTTAAAATTAAAGCAGAATTGATTCAAATACAAGGGATTAGCAACTGTGATTTACCTATTGAATATTAATCAGATGTTAAATTCCCTGATCCCTAAATGACTTAAGTTTTAAAAGCACACATGTCTCCATGATTAAATGGTATTAAGGAGTAATACCTGGTGGCAGTGAAGAAACGAGAAAGGTGAGAACCTCATGAAGGCCTGGGGGAATAGAGGCTTCAGAGGAGATCGCCACAACTTTAAACAGAATTTAGAAAATAAATTCTTAAATTCCTAAATTTTTAAAAACCACAACTCCTAGAATTCCCCACCTAGCAATTTCCATGTTTGATGGGGATTCTGGGACTTGTAGTCCAAAAAGGTAACCTTTACAGGCTAAGCCTCTGCTACATGTTTCCCTTCATTTTCCCATTATATTTAGGAAAGGCAGACAACTAAAAAAGAATGCAACAGAAAAGAACTTGGGAAGTTGGGAAAGGAAAAGAAATCAGGTCCAACAGTGGCCTAATTTTTTATTTGAGGAAACGATTGCTCACCATCACTGCTCCTCTCCTTATAGCCCTCTGATCCTTATATTATTCTGTATGCAAATATTCTGAATTTTGCAAAAATATACTGCAAAAGCAAAATCTATACAAATATATGTGTATGAAGATAATTTTCTATCAAAAATGTATATATTAGTACTAAAACAATGCCACTTGCATATGTACTGTATCCAGGCTTCCTAAAATACAGAAAAAGTCCAAGACATAATAAAATAGCTTTCCATTTCTTTAAACTCCAAGACTATCTAACAGAAAAAAAACCTTATCCATGCATACCTCCTGCAGATATACATATACCTAAAGCAAATATTTCCATTAAATGTCTTAAGGTCTTGGTGGTGGGTATCGTTAACAACCATTAAAAATGTATCACCACAGAAGCCTGTAGATACATGTAACTGAAAAAAGGGGATAGAAAAGAAGATGCTAGTCAGCTAGAGAAGGTGCTAGCCACCTAGAGTGGTCGTAATTGACCAGATAGGTGGGGTATAAATTGAATAAATAAAATAAAAATAAAAAAAGCTATTGCACAGATAGTCTAAGAAAATGAAGTAAAGTCTCCAAAGTAGCATGACAGAATCCAAAGAAAGAATGCCTGCTGCATATAATTAATGTATTTTGGCACAGCCTAGAGATTTCCTGAGCAAACTGCTACTTAGAAAGTATACAGAAGCTGCACTCCACCCTTTTTGCCTTTCATTTATAGGATAATAAAGTTCCTCTACTGAAGAAAGAAGACATTCAATTGGATGTATTAAACATAAATGTACTTTTTATTGGTGAATCCATACAGGGCAACTATATGTTATTCTTTCAACACACCTACCTACCTTTCCATCAGGTGTAAAAAAATCTACCAAAATTTACTGAGCTAAATTATTTTAAAAATAAACATTAGCAAGTGAGTGCATAGAATCAGCTTGGGCTCCTCTCCACTCCGCTGCTAGACAACTGTAAGAGAAAGCCACATTTGGGAAGCAGGTGAATTGCAGGGAATAGATTCCTTTGGCCTGCATCTTACAAGTATGTAAAGCACTAGAATTTAGCCATGGATTGTTTTGTTTAAAATAAGAAAACAAAATCTTGACAAAGAACTTGCTAATACCTGTATATTATAGCTTTCCAGGAAATGCACAAAATAACTATTCAAAAAGGCATAAAACACATAAACAAGACTATGCTCTTTTCGTTGTTCTCAACTCTCAGCCTCTTAGCACAAAACATATTTCAAAAAGAGAACAGAGAAAACAAACTACATTGCAACATATTGAAAAATATTTTCAAAACCCTCTGCTATTTCATTGCTGCAGTATTTGGATATAGCGAATGCTCTTCAGAGGCTCTTAATCATCCGGCTCATATCTAAAAAAAAGGAAGTTAGAAAAAATAGATTAAAATATAATAGTCTGTTTCTTGAATTTAAAAAAAAATTAAAATGTGTGTTTTCTTAGAGACATACAACATTGCCATTTATCTATAAATCATATTGCAATGAATGACAATTTTCCCTCTACAAACCTTTCCCAATGTTAGAATTTATATCCTCAGGCTAAGCAGAACATCAAAATTTCCAATAATCTGAAATATTTATCTAGGCCTTTTTACTGTATTTTCATTTTGCACACTGATTTGAATGCAAAACAACAGGAAAATGCTTTACTTATCTCGAAAAGCACTTGCTGAGGTTTTTCAGCTTACCAAGAATCTGACCTCTCTGAATAGATCAGCAAAAAGCTAAAGAATGCACCATTCCCAGCTCAATCAAGTTACAGTATGTAAGTTTACCAATTCTCTCAAAGTTACAGAAACATCTTCAGCATCTTGGAGCCAGCATCCAAACATCTACTGTAGTTCTGCATGTCCAAAGAGACTTTATATTTGGTTTTTGAAACAGTGAACCTGTGCTATGTGGCAATGATCTAACCAATGAGGTAAGAAAAATACTACAGAAATACCATTTGTGGTATGGCACAAGAGCCTGTCTTGGAAAGGAAAAAGAACAGCATTGTACAAGGAATGTGGAAGAGGTCAGCCACACCAGAGAAGCTGGATCCCAGTCTTAGTTTTCATTTACTAAACATTTCTCATTTTGCACCATCACATATTGCCATAGAGAGGAGAGGCCAAGGGACCGAACAGAAGTGTGTCACTTACTGTGAGAGCTTCTTTCTTAGCTCCTTTATCTGTTCATTTTTCTTGGACAGAATCTCTTTCAGATTGCGGTAGGCAGCAGTTTGTTGGAACTTTTTGTCCAATTCCTATCCATTTAGAATTGATAATATATATTATTTTAAAAACCAAAACAGAAACCATATCTTAAATTTCGAATATCACAAATTATTCAAGATACAAGTATCCAATTTCAAGTGCGTGACAGGCAATAAAGTGCCAGATTATATAGTGTGTATGGCAAAATAATGTATGGAACCACTGTATTGGATATTTAATTTTCTAAATGTAATTATTTTTTAAATTATAACTGGGTGTTTCTAACACGTTCCTTTAATGTGCTGTGTAATAATCTATACAAGGGAAACAAGACTTACATCCTAATCCTATGTACTGTACTGTATATTACTCAGAGTTTATTTATTTATTTTTATTTATTTTATTAGATTTATACCCCACCCATCTAGACTGGGTTTACTCTGGGCAGCATTACAAAATTTAAAAACAATAGAAACAATAAGTATGTAAAAATCCAAGATGTAAAAATGTAAATATTAAAATGCAGCAGGAGGGAAAGCCTGCCTGAATAACCATGTCTTAAGTTTATTTCTAAAGACACCCAGAGAGGGAGCCAGGCAGATCTCTACGGGCAAGTTGTTCCAGAGGCAAGGGGCCACTGCCGAGAAGGTCCAGCTCCTCGTCCTTTCCCTCCAGGCCTCCCTCGGCATCAGGCCCCTCAGTTGCCCGGCCTGGCTAGAACAAGTGTCTCTGGTAGAACTGGGTGGGAGAAGGTGCTCTGCCAGATATCAAGGTCCTAAACTCTTTAGGGCTATATAAGTAATTGTAAGAACTTTGAAATCAATGCAGAAACAAATGGGCAACCAATGCAAGGCGGCCAGCGTGGGGGAAATATGTTGGTGCCTCTTCACCCCAGTTAGAAGTCTGGCCGCGGCATTTTGTACCATCTGAAGTTTCCGCATCAATCTCAAAGGCAGCCCCACATAGACCGCATTACAGTAGTCTAATTTTGAGACTACGAGCGCATGGACCAAAGTGGTGAGCGCCCCCACATCAAGACAGGGATGCAGCTGGGCAATCCGCCAAAGGTGGTAGTGTGCGGAATGGACCACTGACAACACCTGGGTCTCCATGGTGAGTGCCAGGTCCAGATGTACACCCAAGCTGCAAACCTCACTATTTATTTTATTTATTTATTTATTGGACTTATATACTGCCCCATAGCGCTACAAGCACTCTTGGTGGTAAGTCACCCCCCCCCAAAAAAGAGAGGGAGTTTCCTAAACCACTGATGTCTGGGGCACCCACCCGAAGGACCTCCGTCTTGCCCGGATTCAGACTCAGTCCGTTTTCCAGCATCCATTGCTGAACAGCCCCCAGGCAGCGCTCAAGGGACAAGACAGTATATACTGTTGTTGGAAAAAAAGAGATGTAGAGCTGAGTATCATCAGCGTACTGATGACACGAAGCCCCACATCCCCTGATGACCCCTCCCAGCAGCCTCATACAGATGTTAAACAGCACTGCAGAGATAATCGAGTCCTGCAGGACCCCACAGTTGAGGCTCTCTCCCAGCTTGGAGAGCCTCCCCAGGAGAATACCGTGGTCAATGGTATCAAAGACGACTGAGATATCAAGGAGGACCAGCAGACACATTTTGCCTCTGTCAGCCTCCCTCAGCAGGTCATCAAACCAATGTTTGTTTCTGCGCCATGGCACAGCCTGAAGCCCGACTAGAATGGATCCACGGCATTGGTTTCATCCAGAAGAGCCTGTAGCTGATCAACCACCACCCTCTCAACTACCTTGCTAAGGAAGGAAACATTGGCAACGGGCCTATAATTACCAATGTCGTCTGCCGCCAAGCTTCTTCCTCATGGGCCTAATGAGTGTTCCCTTGAGGGCACTTGCCCTCCTGGAGAGACCCATTAATTATTGTTGTAGCCCATTCAGATGTTATAGGCCTGGCTACTTTGATTAGCCAGGCCGGGCAAGGGTCAAGGGAGGAGGTGGTGGCATGACAGCAGTCAAGCACTCTGACCACCATATCTGATGTCACAGGCTGAAAGTGTTTAAGTCTCATCAGGCAAGATGGAGTGCTGGATGTCTCAGCTTGAGCTACTGTTTCCAAATAGGGGGCAAGATCCCGGCAGATGGCCTCCACTTTTGATTTTAAAAAGGCTGCAAATTGATCAGGTGAGATGCTAGAGGGAGGCCAATCACCATGACCAGTTCCGGAAAGATCACGAACTATATGGAAAAGTTCCACCTGCTGATTGGAAGCTTTGCTTATCCGGACAGCGAAGTAACATTGACTAGCAGCCTTCACCTTAGATTGGTAAAGGTTAGTCACAATCCTGGCAGCTATTTGATTATTTTCCGTCGGGTTCCGCCTCCATGTGCTCTCTAGCCTTCTCCTATTTCGCTTCATTAATCACAGCTCTGGATTAAACCATGGCGAAGGGCGATCTCTGCACCAGAGAGGGCGTTTAGGTGCGATCGTGTCAACGGCCCTGGTGGTGGCAGCCAGCCAGCTATCCACCAGAGCCTCAACAGGAATGCCAGTCAGATCAGCCAGAATCCCTCTCATGGTATTCCTGGAATCCTACAGGATCCAGTAACTTTCGAGGGCGGACCATAACAACAGGTCCTTGCTCCCCGGGGGGGGGGGGGGCACTGCAAGGTTGAATTTGATTAGGCAGTGATCCGTCCATGACAAGGGGACAGATGCAAGGTCAGGTACCATTGGAGCACACTCGGTCTGCTCAGTAGAGAACACCACATGGGTGGGGCTGTTGACATGTTGGGACATGTCCAAGAAGGCCATGGTCTCCAAGAACTCAAAAGCTGGACCGGATACCTCCGCCTCCACATGCATGTTGAAGTCACTCAAGACCAAAAACCTTGGGGACGCCAACAATGCCGTGGAGACGAAGTCTGTACCATTGGAGCACACTCGGTCTGCTCAGTAGAGAACACCACATGGGTGGGGCTGTTGACATGTTGGGACATGTCCAAGAAGGCCATGGTCTCCAAGAACTCAAAAGCTGGACCGGATACCTCCGCCTCCACATGCATGTTGAAGTCACTCAAGACCAAAAACCTTGGGGACGCCAACAATGCCGTGGAGACGAAGTCTGCCAGCTCCGGGAAGGAAATGGCTGGGTCGCGGAGAACACGGTAACCCAGCAAGATCCCAATACCATCCCTGGCCCCAACTGACACGTGGAGGGCCTCTAGACCCGGCATCACCAGAGCAGAGCACCTAACAACCTGAAGGGTGTTTTTATAAACAATGGCTACTCCCCCACCCCGTCCCGCCAGTCTACTCTGATGTTGGACTGCATAACCAGGAGAGCAGGCAAGAGTCAGGGGTTATAGCCATACAGAGCACTAATGTGAATAGGCATAGGCTTGCAGTCTTAATATTATTCTGTGCTTTAACTTCTGATCAGAAGAATGCAGGACATGAAAATTAAAAAAAAACTTTTAGTTCTTGTTGCTATTTTATTATCAATTATAACACTTTTTATATGTATTTGTAAAAGGACATGAAGAAGAACATGAAAAACGTATTCCAGATTTTTTCCTATAACTTTACCAATGTTTACATTACATGAGTCAGAAATAGAAGAATTAGACAACCTTGACTACAGCCTGTAGCTTACACAACAGGATGAAAACTAACCTTTTCAGCCATAGCCAACTGGTCCTGCACCTTAAGAAGTTCATGCTTTGTTGACACCAGATTCTCTTCCAGGGATTTTTGGCTTGAGGTACTGTCCTGCAAAGTCTTTTCCAACTGGCACTTCAGATCAGCCATACTATTTTCTAGTTCACTAATATCCTGAGTTTTATTAAACTGAAAAAAGGAAAGAGGCAAATATTAACATGAAGAACTTAAATGTCTGAACAGGAATTACTTAATAGCAAGCCTACCCTAGACATAGGCACATTCAATCATATGCTCCAAAATTCTAAATGTAAAACTATAGTGCACTCTCATTACTCTAGAAACATTGGTTCAGATTCATTTTAACAAGAAAAAGTGATGAATGATAAAGCCAGTGGCCAGGACCCTCTTCAGTTGAACAGCTAGCCTAATGGTGAGTACAAAGAGGCATTCAAGTGCATCTTTGCGCACATGGAAGTCCTGTATACTCAAATGGGCAATCTCTACTTGCATACTGGCCAAGCATGGAGACTCTAAGCACTAATGCAGCTTTTACTTTTGCTGGTGCTGAATAGGATCTTAGCTAAAAACTTTGTCATTAGCAAAAGTCTAAGAAATAATTTTGAATGGAGTTGGTAAATTAAGGTTATTAAAGTTCAGTGTAATCTTTATTCTGAGGAGTACTGCAGAAAACTTTTTTGTGTATGTATGGCAGTATATAATACAATTTCAGTTTACCCCCTCTTTACTGTGAAGGCTTCGGTAGTACTGCCTGAGTCCACTACAGCAAATGCAAAATATTTCCAGCAATGGCTCTGGAGAAACATATCGTATTTATAAATTTGAATTGTATATACAGAGGGTTTTAAAAAAATGAATAACCCAGGATGGGTGTGAGAGAAAATTTGTAAGATTTGTTACATAATTTTGGTTCACACTGAGTTTCAAGGATCCAATGATCCATTGCAGCTAGCTGCTTCCACCAGAACAGTAGTCCCTTTGTGCACTCTAAAATGAAGAACCTTCCAGAGTATATATTTTGTTGTCTCAGAGGTCTAGACGTGTAGGGCATTGGGAAAGAAAAGCTCCATACTGCAGCTATGGTATACCAAGTATACTGTTGGAATGTGGCCAAAATATCTGATTGCTCAAGGTAATTCTGGGCATCCTTTTATTGTACAACAATTATTGATAAGCTCACTGCTGAGTCATGAACTGCTGGCTGACATTTCTAATAGAGATGTAAAATAACTTTTAGAAAACTAAGTGGGAATGCAAGTAGGCATTTTTGTTCAGTTCACTGTGAGAGCATTTATAATTGATAGAGTCATGCTATGTAAATTTAGTTTGGTATAAGATGAAGCGCAGTATTGGAGTAGAATGGCAAATGGAACGCTGATGGTAATTTAATTTGATCAGGGAACTGACATACAACTCATCAAAATTACAGTTTAAGATTATGAGAGGAAAAAATGATTCTAGTTTTTTACTGAAGTGAAATAATTTATTTGAACAAGTCCTGTCTAACTGATCAAGCACATAGTATAAAAGTAACAAATCAGGTCAATTTTAAAATGTATCATATTGAACAATACATACCAAAACCATATTAGAAAGCAAAATAAAAAAGAAATGTGAATTAAAAATGGTGAAAAAATTAGAAAGAAAACTTCAAACTTCAAAAGTAATACACATAAGCATTAAATTATGCTCTTTTAGCAATATGAACATCACAAAGAGGAGCAATCTATTCCAACCTTGTAATTCTTATTCATCATATGTAGTTTTGAAACAGCATTACATACTATTACAGTGGGCAACACATCTGGTGGGTATGGAGTTTTCTTTTTTGGGAAAACTATTCAAAACAAATTACAATGGTCAAAATCCTGTTACTTACATGTGCCAGCATAATCAGAGTAATTCGCTGTCGCAAACTGGCATTACTTAAGCAGTCAAATTTGTTTCCTCATTACACACCAGTCACTTGCCTTGGCATCCAACCAGAAAAAGAAGCATCAACCTCTTAAATAGCAACAATTTGCTGCAGTGATTTATGCTGTTTGACTTCCACCAATTTCACAGGTAACTGGCCACTGAGTAATTTTCTCAAACTGGAACTGTTCAACTGAAATGGTTTAAGAATATTAGTGCTGCCCTATTTAAATATAAGTTTTACCTTCTGATCTCCTTGAGCAATCTGTAGATCTCGCAGAGTCTTCTCTAACTTTGATTTTTCATCCAGTGCATTGGTAGCCTAAATAGATTTAAACATTAGAATCAAAATACACTGCAGAAAAATAACAGAATTACAGTTCTTCTGGTACACACATATTAATATTTCAAGCAAACCTACCTGCACTTCTACTGTCTTTAATCTAGTCTTCAATTTTTCATTTTCTTCTTGGAGTCTTGCAATTTCCTGCATATAAATTTACAATATTCACTTGGCCTGGAATACACCACTACTAAATATACTGAAACTGCCAACATTTCTAGCATGTAGTTTTTCAAATTAGAACAAAAGTAATTGGTCACAGATTGAAACAGATAATGGCTGTCTCTAGCATAGTAGAAAGTGCCTACGCACGTTTAAAGTGCTTGTTAGGCACTTACTTGTGTGATTCCCAGCTTATTGGGGGTGGAGGGGGCACCATTTAGAGACTTGCAGAAAGAATACACTCATGTAAAAGTTCACACCTACATTCAAGTAAGATTTTCTGCATCACCATATGCTTGTAAAGAAAGCATATACCATAGAGACTGAAGAAGTGGAAAGAAATCAAAAGGGACTGGGGAGTAGAAACAGACAGATTCTGTTAAGAATGTTGATTTTTAAATAAATGAATCTTCAAGTTACCAAGTAACCTAACACAAGTTAGGTTGCATTGTTTTTGTTTTGCAATTTATGGTTGGTTCTTAAATGTAAAGCACTTGTATCAGTAATTTCTGAAACAAACATCTACTGTTTATATGCATACAGCATTCTGTTATGTATGTACGTATGTATGTATGCATGCATGCATGCATCCTTTCTCCTTAAAAAGGACCTAAGGCAGCTTACATCAATAAAACACAATATTTAAAACTAAAAACAGTAAGTATACAAATACAAAAAAGGACCAAACAAATGACACTCTGAGAAACTTCTGTTATCCTATGCACATTGACTTAGGAGTAAGTCCCATTGAACATAATGGGACTTCTGTCTGAGCAAACATGCATTAGTTTGGCATGCATAAGAACTAGTGATTTTCACACACGCGCGCGCGCCCACACACACACACACACACATACGTCAGTTTGTATTTTTAATAGTCTAGGTCACAAGAATATAGAATTGCTTTTTATTTCTCCAAACAATTTGGCCAATATCTGCTAGTACATTGAGTGTGCTGGAGAAATAATGCAGGTTAACATAATTAATAACAACTAATGGATAGGACATGTGGCCCACTACTGGATATGTGACTAGACATGTAACTAGCATAAACCTGACACCTCATCACTTAACTGTGGCAACTTACTTGATTCCTCTTGAGTGTATACAAAAGCCCAACAGAGATGAATCAATAATTAGTTTTCACAAGAATGAAGTCTTACCTTGTTTAGCAATTCTGACGCTCCATCATGTAAGGGAGTAAGTTTAGGCTTAACCATCTCTGGATTAGGCTATAAATAAAAAGATATAATACAAAGGTCACAGATAAGAAGCATACAATTAAATATTTCATTTTTAATACACACATCACAGTCTTATGTTTGCTCAGACTCTTCCTCAGCTGACTGGTCCCAGACCCCTTTAACAGCAGTTTCTAAGCTATATATGCTTTCTTCCCCCTCTGTATTATAAGAGCATCTGATCTTGCAGGACATGATAAAGGTCTATCAGTTTAATCTATAAATAAAATAATATCTCACTGTTTCAACCTCTTCTGCAGTGCAAGAATGTATGTTTCTTCCTGAGGCCGTATACAGTCTCCCAGTCATCAAAAGAACCTCCTCCACTCCACCATGTTTGGCAGCCACTGCTTTCTCCCTAATCCAAGAACCCCCGATGACTTAGACAGCTGGCCCACTCTGTAGAGCAGACAGACAATGCCTCAACTGGAGGGCCCTCCTCACACTGCCGTGCCTTCTCTGCCAACAATTTGTGTTGGAATCCAAAATCATGGGCGCACATGAAACACTAGGAAAGTCAAAAACCAATTACAATCTCATCAGACTGTATTTTTGACCACAGGTGGTCAGAGCTTGAGATGTGTGCAGAAACTTTTCCTCAACTTCAGCCGTCATCCAGGGGGTCGGCATCCATTAAGTGTGTAGGTTCGGTGTTGTTCCATTGCAACACTTCTGGAAGGGAATCTGAGGGAGAGAACTTGCATGTTGTGCTTAAAGCTTGAGCCTTCTTTAGAAGTAGAGCTGAACAAATTTGTGGAGATCCAACAAAGCAGGAGGAGGAAAGAAAAGAGGATCTATTCCACCATTCTGCTGAGAGAGCTGTGTTTAGCTAGCTGTCACCTAGCTGGCTCCCATTTCACCAGGCTACCTGAACTGTTTCCATTCTGGATGGTATTTATAGTAGTTACTGTAAGAAGTGGTGCCTGAATTTGCTTTTCCCCCCTTTTACTTTCCATCTCTTCCCCAACCGTGGTCCTCAGATGTTCTTGAACTACATCTCCCAGAAATCCTGACCAGCACAGCTTCTTGAAGTTTTAATCCAAGAACATCTGAGGAGCCAAGGTTGAAAACCACTGTTTTAGAGTGTAAACCTGAGGACAGGGACTACTCCTTACCATATTTGCAAACTACTCTGGAATCCTGCCTCAGCAACACAGTAAAAATGCTTTAAATTGAAAGAAAAATTACATTACTGGTAAGATCTGTGAATCTCTGATCTAAACAGTAATCTGCCATACTGTAACCTTTCCCCTTAAATATAGAAACACAACCCTTGTCTTTTTCCAACAAACAATTTGGCCACACTGTCAGAAATAAATGCATACCTTTTTATTTGATGATGTAAATTCTGATTTTTCAAACTCTGCAACTTGCTCTAATAAGTCCCTTGAGAAATAGTAGAAAACATTTTAGTCAAGTAAATTTTCTGAGTTGAGGACTCAGCAGCTATTAAAACAGTAAGAAAACAGAAGAAATAGCCCCATACGTAGACATACATTATCAAGACATAACCCTACACTTAAAAGTCTCTTTATAGACATCAGTGTAACATTGTAGATTGGCACCTTAGCAGGCTCCCAAAATAGTTCTGTTTCCTCTAGGATCTGCTACAGGCTACAGAAATAGAGCCTGCTGCCAATATTTGATAGCAACAGGATTCTACTCCTGGCTTTTAATGGTAGTAAACTGCTATGATGAAGTATAACTCAGGAGATCTGTGTTCAAACCTCCACTCAGCCAAGTAGCTGACAGGATGACATTGGGCCACTCACAGTATCTTAGCCTAACCTACTCCATAAGTGAGGATAAAGTGGGGAGGAGAAGAACTACGTCTGCAGTCTTGACTTCAGAGTAGGAAAACTGATAAATAAGTACAGTGGTGCCTCGCATAACGATTTTAATTGGTTAAAAAAAAAAGTTATGTGAAACATCGTTATGCGAAACACCATTTTCCATAGGAATGCATTGGAAACCGGTTAATCCGTTCCAATAGGCACGGATTGCCGTCCTTAAGCGAAAAAACCCATAGGAAACATCGTTAAACGATACAATGTTTCCTCCATTGGAATGTATTGTAGCTGACTCAATACATTTCAATGGCTTTGCGAAGTCAATTTTTGCAAAATTAAGTGTGTCATAAAAGGGTCAAAAATGGTTTTAAATGCTTGGATTAGCTTCTGCACCCTCTAAAACGGATGCAAAAGTTAATTTGGCTTTGATCTGACTTTTCGTTAATTAATGGTGAATTTTTTCCCCCCAACTTTTGACAGCTGTCAAAATCTGACAGCTCCATTAATTTCTATGGGGGAAGAAAAAATTCACAAAAAATTAATGAAGAC